TCACCTATTGTAAAAACCAATTATTTTGCTAGAACCAATAACAGGGAAAGACGTGAAGATATTCCCATCTCTTAGTAGTCTTCTTCTCCTTCCTGAAAAAAAAGACTTCCTTCCTCTATCCCCCCACTCCTAAGCCTTTATACACTGTGTCCCCATTAAGCCCAGGAATCAAATGTCATTAACTGACAAACAGAGGTAGGAAAGGAACCAGATGAGACTGCTATTCCTACTCAGCTAACAGACACAACCTTGGGTAAGTTCTTTAACCTCTCAAGTTTTTTAACCTCTTTTTTCCTCATGTCAGAAATGAATAAATTAGAATGGATGACCTCTAAAAACCTTCCAACTCCAAAAATCTAATTCTCTATTTTGCTGCTGGGTTAAAAGATTTATTTCTTCCTACGGGTATTTTAGTTTTCATGCAGAATATAATGGCAAAAAAAAAACTTCTCCGAAATGCAAGAAAACAGTCCTACCTAATGAAAACACAGATTTTAGAGGTGATATTTTGGGGCAGAACATAATGTAGGCAGCATATTCCATCTACTGACAAGGCAGCTTTGCCCATCATAACTACTATTTTCGTATTTTTGGAAAAAAAACCCAACAACCGGATCTAAACTATTAGGGATGCACAGTATTGGAAGTGATCTTCATTTATATTTGTGGCTGTTGATTCATGAGCATAGCATTATATTATTAGCAGCAGGTATTAAATATATTATTTAGTATTAGAGGTATTAGTCTCAAACATAGGAAAGATTAGCATTTGATATATTAGTTCTTTGGGGTTATAATTAAGGCTTGAATTCCTAATTGTTATTATCCAATGCATAGTAAGAACTATATTGTTATTTTGCTCTTAACTCCACAATGAGTTCACCAACATCGACAGCCCAGTACTAATTAATGAAAATTCTTAAAAATGTAGGCAGTTCACATCTTTTGATTATTATAGACTTTAAAGATGACAATTTGGGGGGAACAGTCTTTTCTTATTATAGCATTTTTTGACCTAGCTTTATGAAAAAACTGTATGCTAAACTAATGGTTTCAAGCCTTTAAAATCCTCTTAAGAGATCCTGCCCATCCTTTATACCCCTCTCTTTATCCACCTGTCTTCCAGAAGCAAAATCTTTGGTCTGCTACAGACGAGTCAGACATTCATCACAGATAATAGATGACTAGATCAAACATAAAGACTTCCACTCTTGTAATCAACTATGTTTTTAGGCCTTCTATCAATATGGTACTTGCATCTGGACTCAAAAGGATACTCAAGTATTTACAAATGTATAGTGGTAATTTTAATGGAGTTGATATACTCAGCTTCGTGGCTTAAACCTTCAGACCGGCAACATGTGGAAATCTTTGTAAATGGATGCCTATATTCCCTAAAGTCATAATACACCACACCATCATCTTCCTGGAGTCTTCCTAAGACACTATATCTTGTATTTCTGAAATAGTGAGACACATCATTACTGATATCTCCACAGGTGTACTTTTCCTCTACTTTGGTCACTGATTTAGAGATAGGTGACTGATTATCCCTGTCCCTCACCTCAGCTGTGGGACTGGCCCAGGTGGGACACAAGCCCTCGTGTACTGGCTCAGTTCCCACTGGGGCAATCATGTTATGCCCCTGAGGTCCTACACTGCTAACTTTGTAGGTTAGTACAGTACATTCTTGATTGCTGTCCTCCTCACTCTGAATATTGCTGTGCCTGGCAATTGACAGTTTCTATCTAAAAAATGTGCTCATGATTTATGAGTAAAAATTTCTGTCCACCCACTTCTACAGCATGTAGACATGCACATTCAGAGTGCTAAAATCAGACTCTGTTATCTACCTCTCAAACCCCACCACTAGAAGGCATCAAAGCCTTCCCATCACTTGTAACTCCCTTCCCACCAAAAGCACCCTCGCCTGGTATATCTCAATCCTCCTGTTGATGAAGATATCGCCTGCTGGTTCCGTCTCCCACAGGCAAGGAGCTTGGTGCAAGTTCCCCAAAGCAAGTAGTGACTTGAACCAGAAAAAGACAGTCAAGAATTGCATTCACCCCTGGATCATGCTATCACTCTGTATTTCAACTCTAGAAGCCTTCAGGGGAGTTGTGAGGAAAGAAATGCCCCAGACTGCTTATCTACCAAGGATTTCAGGTTCTTTTAGGTTGGAAGATCTTGTGATGATTAAATATAGTGCCAAAAATTATCTAAGCAACAATAAACTTAGAAGTCTCTTGGGCAGATAGGCATGACCATTTTCTCATTGTCTTCCATTTCATGTTACGCCAACTGAGATGTACCCAGATAGGGAATGTGATGCTTCATGTTTATGTGGTGACTTTCTCTTGGATAAAATGGGGGTTGTCATGACTAAGTATTGTACTTGGAATGTGGAGCATAGACAGAGAAGTGGTTCTTCAGAAGATACACTAGGAAGTGGTCCTCATACCAGCTGGAGGAGGCACTAGGGGAGGAGGCTGCATCATTCAGTATGGCATATGTCAAAGCAGCTTTGGGGACTGGGAAAGTGGTAATCAGCAGAGTGGAGGAAACCAGTGCTACAATTCTATCTTTCCCAATTCCGTAATAGGGTGATCCCAGACCACAGGATGCAGAGTGTAGGGTATTCTCCTCATGTCTGTAGGCAGAGATGGTCCCCATTTAGCAGGCTTGCCCAGCACAAAGTCTGCTGTTCCCTTGTGAGCAGGAACCTTCAAACTGCTCTCCTGATGGCAGGAACCCATCTTTGTAGGACTGTGTTAGTTCTTACATCTGGGGAGCAAAAAGCGGGGCAGGGGTGTAGTGAGAAAACTCTCTGGGAGAGTTCCACTTCACTCCTCATTTAATCTCTTTCTCCCTTCCTCTCCCTTCCCCTCCCCTCCTATCCTTTCATCCCTCCATCCCTCTCTCTTTTCTCTTCTCTTTCTCCTTCCTCCCTCCCTCCCTCTCTTACTCTGTCTCTCCTCTCTCTCCTCCTCCTTTCATCCTCTCTATACACATGCCCGCATTCCAGTCAACACAGCCACACATTCACTTGTGTACATACTGATCCACATAGCAATATCTTCCACCCACAAATACCCAAGTGTCACACATATAGTAATTAAAGAGAAATATATAGGTAACCCAGGGAACTATACTCTCATTTTCTCCATTCTCTCTCATTTTCTCCCCTAAAAAAGGCCTTTTCAAAAATATATTAAACCAGGTAAATTTTTACTCAGATGTTCAGGTGATTGGAGCAGATTGACAAGGAAAACAATCACAAAATAAATAATTTTGTTCTTTTTTTTTAAAAAAAGGAACAGTTTCCTACACATTGTCTCTCTCTCTCTAACTTGACAGAGCTGCTTACTTGGACAGATGATGCTGTCGAAGAGGAGCCCTGAATGGACCACGAGGGGAATTTGGAACAAGCCAGGGTCCTGAAACTGAGGAGATCAAGGAAGCAAGGAGCAGGTGAGAGGAAGGAGTGAGTGAGGGAAGCGAGGAGGCCGCCAGCCCTTCATTGGTTCCTCTGTAGTTTGCACTTGCATTTCTCACGTGAGTGGCTCTGTGGTGCAGTCAGTGTGCAGCGGGCACAGAGGAGGCAGCATACAAAAGTAAGAACGAATGTAGGGACTCACAAAACAACAACATTTTAAGAAATCTGGTTAAAAAGAATACAAAAGTGACTCCACAGAGGGGGGAGGAAGAGCTCCCACCCCTCCCATGCGTGTCCCCTCTTGCTTTCTTGAATGACAAGAATCACTTTAAGGATCTTTGTTTCATGGTTGGGCTGGTTCTTCTTAATCTCTTTCCTGGCTCCTCTCCTTCAACCTCCATTCTTTAGAAAGCACCTCTTTGCAGATACAAGGCTGCTGAGTGGTAGCCTCCCTGTGCAAATGTGTGTGTGTGTGCATGTGTGTGCGTGTGTGTGTGTACAGTGGCTGTTCCTTTCTCTCCTGCCTGCTTCAGTCCAAGCTTTGAGGTCCCATCTGCTGGGTGCTGAAAGTCCCGTGGGAGCACCCTGTTGGCACTAAGGTAAAGACTTGGATTGTCTCAACCCAGATTCATGGATTTCCTCCCTGCCCGGGGCTACAGCGGGCTCCACATTAGCTACAGAGTTTGCCTGTTTCATACTCCACAGGGTTTGGCAGCTTTGAATTGAAAGCCCTCAGGGAGGACTGGATCCTGCCCACCTCATTGTTGGCCAGCTTGAGCCGGTGCCGCAGCAAACAGGAGAACAGGTCCAGTCGGACTTTGCCAGGTGGAGAGAGCTGGTTCACCCGGTCCCTGAGCTCAATGAGCTGCAATAGTGCAGAGTCCTGGGAACCTTGGGTATACGGGTAGTCCAACTGGAGGATTAAGTCCCGGATAGCATCCGGGTCAAAGGGCAGGCTGTAGCCAAAGACCTGCAAGGTGTTGATTTTCATGTAGCCCAAATTCTTAGAGGGATCCGTCATCTCCAGGGGCTCGTAGTAGATTGTCTCGTTGGAGCTGTCATCCAGGGACTTGATTCGGCTCCGTAGGTAAACATGGACTGTCTCAAAGAAGGTCTTCCACCTGTTCCCCAAGGTGATAGTCCAGTTTTGGCACTGGGCAGCTGCATCCACATTAGTCCTTTCCCAGTCAGGGAAGCTTCCCTCATTCACAGGCATGAACCAGCTCTCAGAGTGGCTGCCCCCAAAGGGGTTGACATAGATGGCCATGACAGGCTCCAGGGTGCTGTTCTTGGTGAGGCAGATCTGCAAAGACAGGGCCAACATCACATGCACCAGTCCAGGCTTGTACTTGTTGCTCTTCAGGGTGAGCAGCATGCGCTTCCTCCAGGAAGGGTCGAACCAGCTGCCCAGACGCATGTCATTGCTGATGAAGATGGAGTGGACCTCGATGCGGCTATCCCGCTTCTGTAGCAGGTACTTTAGCTCCAGGTCCTGCAGGTCTGTCTCCAATCCGAGAAAGTTCTCCAGGGACTCAGCCACCTCTGGCCGGCACAGCCCCTGGGCCAGCACGTAGCCTGGGTTGCAGCTCCCACAGCGTGTGCTGTTGTCTGGAGCACAGTGGGCACATGCAGGCCCTTCGCCCAAGGCACATGGGATGGGGCCCTGGCAGGAGGACTGGTCATAGGGGCAGGTGCAGCTGTGACTCTGTTCCAGGAAGGTGCCAGGGAAGGTGCTTTCCCCACAGTAGAGGAGGGACTGGATTCGGTTCCACCAGTAGGACAAGGACCTTGGGAAGAAGAAAGAAAAGCAAAGCAAGAGTCAAAGGCAGACACACACAGAGAGGACATTGACTAGTAGGCAGGATAGGCAGGGAAAGCAGTGAGTACTCCCTTGTTCCCTTATTCTAAAACCTATGAAGGCCCTCCAACATCTTTGACATCACATCCAAGTCTTCAGCCTTCTACATGAGATGGCCTTCCAAACATTCTAACGTCGTATCAACCTCATCCCTACCTCAAGGTCTTTGTCATTTCTGTTTCCTCTGCTTCGATTACTCCTCCACCTAGAGTAGATATTGCCTATGGCTGACATGCTTAAAGTTTTGATTTTAGCGCTTATGTCACCTCCCTCCACTTTGCTCATCCTCCATCACATCACCTTGTTTTTATTTAACTCCTGGCAATTATCAGCATATGAAATTATTATGTTTAATTGTTATTTATTTGTTTATAAACTGCTTCACTGTAAATGCCATGAGAGCAAGGACTGTGTTATGGACCAATAGATTCTCAGAAATGAGGACTGCTATTCGGTGCATGGTAGGAATTTCATAATTATTTGTTGAAAAAACAAATAAATGAACTCTGTTTAAAAACCTCTGCTGGGCCGGGCTCTGTAGCTCAGCCTGTAATCCCGCGCCTTTGGGAGGCTTAGGTGAGTGGATTGCCTGAGCCCGCGGGTTCGAGACCCGCCTGGGCAGCGAGACCTCATCTCTACAATAAATCAAAAAATCAGCCGGGCGTGGTAGTGCGCGCCTGTAATTCTGGCTACTTGGAAGGCTGAGGCGGAAGGATCGCTGGAGCCCAGCAGGTCGAGGCTGCGGTGGCCGGGAGCGGCCACTGCACTCCAGTCTGGGCGACAGAGTGAGACTCCAACTAAAAAAAAAACAACAAAACAACAAAAAAAACCCTCTGCTGGTATGTGTCTCTTCTTACCTGTGCCTCACTGACAGCCACCTCTCTGGGTTGCTGACTGTGAAGGCCACTCCTCTTGTCTGTAATATGCCCCACCTCATGTGAACCAGGTCCATTTCTTCCTGTACACTCTGGCCAAGACTTTCTTCTCCAAGGAAGCTTTCCTCTCTGGTCTTTGCCTCTAGGAGACTATCCCTTTGATTTATGTTTCACAAAACATTTAAGTGGTTGCCACACAGTTAGAATGTTCTCATTTTTATGTTTCTGTTTGTTAAATTTTCCCAATTCACTAATATGTCCTACAGCTTAATAGTAGGGCCTACGATGTGGGCTTGAACATTTGTTGAATAAATAAACCAATAAGTGGATAAATGAGTGAATGCTTATGATAGCTCCACTCTGCCCCGAGGCCAGTCTCAGCTTTCCCTCCTCCTGTGGCTCAGAGTAGAGTCACCTGTTTGAAACAATCCAATGTGTGTATTTCTCATCATATGCAATTGGTGTATAAGCTTTTAACTCCACCCCTTTCTTTGCAAAAAAACTTTATTACAATGGAAATCAAGAAATGAGAATTAAGATATTATTGGAATAGCATTTGAATCTACTATGGTTTAGATAAGAGTAAAATGGGGCTCCCTCTCTTTTTCTCTCTCTCACTTCAGACATCACTCAAGATAACAAGGGAAGGCTATGTGTTGGTCAGCACTCCCAGAGCCCTCTACAGTGGATAGAGGGTCCTTGTTGGGTTCTGAAGCTGTTGGGGGATGTGCTGAGCCCCAGCCCTAGTGTCTGGGGTACTCACCTCTCCTTGGGTAGGCGGAAGCGAGGCTGCCGGTGGCAGCGCTTGCAGAGGTTGAAGAGCCGGCGGACGATTCGATGGGTCTTCTTGAACAACACTTTCAAGCTAGTTCCCAGCTGCTGGTAGCGGTGTTGAAGGCTGGTGTCCATGGCCCAGAACTGGGAGATCGCTGTGGAGTTCAGGAACCGGTCGTCAGGCAGCCTTTTTAGCAGGGCCTGGAACTCTTCTGGGGACAAGAACACAGGAGCTGAGCTGGGAGCAGCTACACAGAGCCCTGGGAGGGGTGAGTGGGGGCGCCCCAGACACAGGGCTCTTCAGAGACACTGCATGAGGAAGAGCCTTCACATCTACTCCCCCAGGTTTTTTTAAATATCAGCTTTATTAAGAAATAATTAACCTACAATAAAATAAGGTTTGGGGATTTTTCCCATTCTTCCTATCCCTAATATGCTCCTGAATTTAGAATTGATTTCTGCCACCACCAAAGGGGCCAAGATCCTACTGTCACTAATGATCTTGGGTGCATCTCTTTCCCCCTCTGTGCCTCCTTCTAAGTCATCCACTGCACACTGCGCTGTCTCTGGGCCAATCTTCTTCAATGATACCACTTAGGGAAGATGGGAGACCCTTGTGAAGGTGAGTGTGTAGCAAGACTAGTAAAGGTGGCACACAGAGAAGGTGCAGCACACAGCTCAGAAATCTAGTTTTTATTTTTTTTTTAAGAGACAAAAACTCACCCTGTTGCCCGGCTGAAGTGAAGTGGCACATAATTCACTGCAGCCTCATTCTCCTGGGCTCAAAGCAATCCTCCCATCTCAGCCTCCTGAGTAGCTGGGACTATAGACACACAGCACCACAACTGGCTAACTTTTTCATTTTTATTTAGAGATTGGACCTCCCGATGTTGCCCAGGTTGGTCTTAAACTCCTGGCCTCAAGCAGTCCTCCCAATTCAGTCTCCCAAAGCACTGGGATTCCAGGTGTGAGCCACCGCGCCCAGTCATAAATTGTTTTAGAAATCTTTGAGTTCCTGAGAGCAGCCTCTCCCCTCCGCATCCTTCTTTCTGACTTGTTAAGATACTCTTCCTCTCTTTTCAGCTTTGCCTCTTGGCTAGATACCCATTCTTTCCTGTAGCTGAAGTAGAACCATCATAATTTCTTTTTCCAAGCTCTTGCCAAATTTAAGTTCTTCTTAGAGTTTTCTGGGCACACCATGCTTTCTGAACTCAAGCTCAGGTCTCTGTCCAGTGCTCTGCTTCTCCTTGGGACCAGCAGCCATCAGGTCTCCTGGTAGAGGTCTAGGCAGCCCTTTCATATTCATCAGCAGTAAGTTATAGTGGTGAAAGCATCAAGTCATGTTCTAGAATACAACCCACCCCCGGAGCCCAAAGCATCGGGCTGTAGGGGTCGGGGGCTTGAATGTGCTATGCTCCTTAGCCACTAAATGTCTTGTCTAAGACTTGAAATGGCAGCCCCCTAGGGCTTCAGATCATTGTGATTTCTCATGTACCTGATGCCTCCAGAAGACTGGAGACTCTTGTCTAGTAAGGGCGATAACAACTTACATGTGCATAGTTAAAACATTTAAACATACAAAAAAGCACCCAGAACAAAAGGGCATACTCCCGTGCCTGCCACCTAGCTTCTGTCATTTTGTCCTATTGGCTTCATTTTTTTTAAACAAAGAAATAAGGTAAACCAAGTATACTGTACATAAGGGCCCTAAATGCCCCTTCCCTCTCTATCTGGATATAACCACTCTCTTGACATTTTCTTTATCATTGTCACACATTTTTATGTTTTATACAAATATATTTAACCATTAAAATGTATTGGCTAGCATGTCTACAAACATTATATAAATAGGATTAATTTTATTTTTATTTAATAAGTTATTATCATATATATAGACATCATATAAAAATAAATATGTATACAAACCATGACCTTTTATCTTTCTTTGCTTTATCCAAAATTATGTTTTTGAGATATACCCACATAACTATCATTTACTCAGTACTGAAATGTGTAAATATGCCATGCAGAGTCCTTTATACGTTAACTTCATCTACATTATCCCATGTGAGCCTTCCATCCATCTATTATTGCCACTTTTCCTCTTTCAAAGATGAGGAAACTGAGGCATTGAGAAGCTGCTTGGCTAATCCAAGGCCATAAAGCCTGAGGGTATTAAGGCAAGGGTATAAGACCCCTGACTCGAGGTTTTAGCATAACATTGATACTAGGTATAACAGCAACAAGCCAACAACCAGCCTGCACTGAGTGCCATTTAGAATTTGTCCACACACTACATTTATTCAACATATATTTATTGTGCACCCCACATACGAACATTGCTCTAGCACCGTGGAATCAGCAGCAACGTAGACAGACAAGGTCTTTACTCTTAATTATGTTCATCTTAGCTTTCTAAATCCTAAAATACATCTCTTTGGTAAGAATTGTGTTCATTTACACATAGAACAAACAAAATCACTTGAGACTCATGGTGATGATAGAATCTGCTTGAAGTCACATTAAGTAACTAAGTCAGGATCTAAATCAAGTTCTCCCGATATTCTTGCTCTGTACCTCCCAGTCACCTCCCATTGATGGGGGCAATGCTGGGTCAGCTGGTTGCTCACCTGACTCCTCAAACTGCCGGTTGTGTGTGGCCCAGGAGTCCTGGATCTGCAGCAGGCTGTCCTCCATGGCCTGGATGTCGGCATCGGGGCAGTTGCATTCTGGGAAGGTGGGGCTGCACTTGCACCAGCAGTCATTCTCCTTGCAGATGAGCTCACCCTCAGAGCTGCATGTGATGTAGCTGAGTGCTGCAGCTACAAAGCGCTCACGCAGGTGCTCAGGAAGCAGCACCTGCAGGCCTGGGGAAAGGATGTGTCAAGGAATTGCTGGGCACAGGCAGTGGGAACTCAGTTTCCCACACCCAAGACTGTAGGATCCCCAGGTGGGGTTCTGCTGACGTGTGCATCCTGGGACCAAAAACAGTCACCCCAGGGCCTGATGCTGCTGAGCTGGTTGGGAGAGAGGGCTACCGCTGCCCCAGTGACAGATGGGGGAGGATCTGAAAACGCAGATGAGGAACATCAAAGCCTAATACTTAGCCAAACCTCTCACATCAGCCAAATTGAGAGTGTGCATATCATGAGAACAGGCTTATTGGCTACACATCAGCATTTCTAGGATGGAAATGGGAAGATGTTTTGGATAAAAGAAGAACTTACAGCCCTCATGGGGGAGAAATAAGGCTGGTGGGCTTTTTGCTCTGCCTCCTATAGCCATCCTGTTTGTAGCTTAACTGAGTTTAGCAGTAGGCATCCTTGGACATTACCAACCCTCCTGGCCTTGAAGACCACAGCCCTGATGACCGAGAAAACCCTGATGTCCTGGTTAGGAGGTAGAAACAGGTATTATGGGTATACAGTGGCTTTGCACTATGCCAAGTTCTTTCTATATATGATTGCAAATAACACCTGTGCTCATGCTGAGGTTCTTTTTTTTTTAATGGTCAAATTTATTTATTTATTTATTTATTTTTATGAGTTGGAGTCTCACTCTGTTACTCAGACTGGAGTGCAGTGGCCGCTCCCGGTCACTGCAGCCTTGACCTGCTGGGCTCCAGCTATCCTTCCACCTCAGCCTTCCAAGTAGCTGGAACTACAGGCACATGCTATGCACGGCTAATTTTTGATTTATTGTAGAGATGGGGTCTCTCCAAGTTGCCCAGGCGGGTCTCGAACCCGGGGCTCAGGTAATCCACTCACCTCGGCCTTCCAAAGCACTGGGATTACAGGCTGACCCACCAAGCCTGGCCACTGAGGTTCTTATAGGTAAGAAATCTAAGCCCACAAGGACCTTCCCAAGTTATAGCACTCATAGAGTCTGTTGGTGTCAGATCCTGTCCTTGTCCCATCAGATTGTTCTGCATAACTGGGACTGGTTGTTCCATTTCAATATGATTGAACTTTTAAGGAGATTTGGAAGTGGAATAGTGGTCAAAGCCCTGAGATCTGTCATGCCTAGATGAATATGAGTGGCTCTCAGCTCTTTTTTCCAATTAGCTTCTGATCTTGGATATAATGCACTAAATTGCTCCAAGCTTCAGTTTTCTCCCCCATCTGTGGTGAGTATCTGTTTACCTACAGCAGAACATACCCCTCATTGGCTTCAAATGACAAATAAAGTAGCTGTTGGAAGCTTACCAAGGAATGAATGTAGGATAGGCTTGCCTATGGACACAGTCTGAGTCACGTAGGAGGTCAGACCTACAGGAGGCTCCCCAAGCAGGAACATTGTGAGAACTTGTGCCAGGAGAGTGAGGAATATGGGGACTTCTTGATATGATGAGTTCCTTTTTCCTCACATCAGAGAGTCCAAAATGTGCATCCCAGTCTCCACAGACCTCAAAGTACAACTTAAAATTGCCAGCAGCAGTGGATGTTTGTTGTTCTTACTTCAGGTCTACTTCCAGTTCTGCGCTGCTCCTAAATTTTCCTTTCTTGACATTGTGCCTGCCGTGGGTCTTCCCTAGCCACATACTCACTTCCAACACTCACCCTCTCCAAGTCCTTTCCTTTCACCTCCCCCAGCACCTCCCTTCTCCTCACCAGAATATTTCCCATTGCTATAAAATAAGTGCCCCGAGAAATGTCTGCATGAATGATGGGCTATAAAATTAAATGGCATAAACTATTCCAAATGAATAACCAGACATTTTGAACTTCGCTCACCACTAATTTCTAGACACAGGCCCAGCCCATCCAGGGACACAGGAGAAGAAGGATGTTAATTGCATTAGGTACCTCTAAATCAGAAGGTTTTTTTTTTTGTGCCTCTTTATTATATGTTTCTTGATTCCTGAAGCACTGCTGGGTCACATCTGACTCAGGTTGCCTGGAATTTGTAATCGTAGATCCTGGGTAAGAGTTATTGATTTTGTAATGCTGAGACAATAAGATCTTAAACAGAGTCCAATTCAGTTAGGTCTTAAGAGAAATAAACTCTTCCCACTAAATCAGTTTGCATAGCCCTGCCCTTAGGATGCCTGAGGGAAGCAGAGGGTAGGAGATGGGTGCCTCTCCCTAACTCCCAGCCTCCAAACCTAATGTGCTTTCCTTTCCTTTTTCTTTCCCAGTTTTGCTTGTTCTGTCTCCAGTCAAAAGGCTCCCATTCTTCTCAAACTCACCTCCTGGCTTTGAATCTCCCATGGAAGATCACAGACTAAAAAGAAAGCAGAGTCCGCTCTCAGACTGTGGTTACAGTAACCAACAGTCCCAACTTTGTGTAGCTCTTAGTTGAAGTAAAGATGGTGGTCCTATAACCACTCTGCAAAGTCCGGTTACTCCTCAATGTATCTTTAGGATAGAGGATTTTGGGGGCCACCAAGACCATCGAACTAGGTCAAGGTTTGTAAGGATGAATGTGCTCTTCCTTATAGGATATGACAGAGGACTTGAGAAGAAATATGAGGTAGAGTGATTTAGGTGTCCAGCGGTAGAAGCAATGGATCTTGTGTGTAGAGCAAACCATATCAGAAGCTTTCTCAAAAGAATGATGAAAAGTTGTTAAACACAGGGCCCAGAACTTGTGGTAGTTCTTGTCTTAAGAAGGGTTTAACCAAATGGGGCAGGAAGGATTTTTTTCCCTGCTCTTTGGTGACCCAGGCTTTTCACCCAGTGTGGAAACCACCACAGTGCTGCTTACCGAGTAACTGCACTTTGTTCTCTGGACTCTGCACCAGGACAGAGCTGACTGAGTCCAAATTGTCATAGTTGCTGCAGCCCAGAGGACCAGTCCTGGTCTCTGTAACCTAGAGAGGGAAGGGATAGGGTATGGATTTAGATGACAAGTGGAGACTTTTTGCCCTTCCCTCCCCCAGTAGTCCAATCTTGGGCTCCATGTCCTGTCCTTGATCAGTCAAAGAAACAACATGTGTCTTTTCCTACCCCAGGAGCACAAAGTTACTTTTCTCCCTTGACCTGAGATAGTATCTGTTAGGTATGGCTGGCAGCAGCAGTTATACATAAGTAGGAGCCCTTTCAAGATAGCCAAAGGAAATTTGTTTCCAGAGTGCTGGAGAAGGAGTGAGATCTGTTAGCAGAAGTCACTCCTCCCTATCCTCCAGGAAGTCAGGGGCCATATGTGGTCCCTATCAGCCTGCTGGCAAGCCCAGCTGCAGCAACTTGATGTTTTAGGGATCCCAACAATGAAAAGCACTAGAGAAATATGAGTATTAGTATTAGTATTAAACATTTAAGTCCCACCTTGGCACTGAGACGTCCTTAGAGAAAATCAGCCATGGGCTTGCTGCATATTTTAATAAGTATATTAAATATACATAAACTCTTATAGCCATGTAATATTCCAAAACACCATTGAGTCATTTTAAAATATTATCAAGTTGGCCCATCAGTTTTCCCTGATGTTTAAAGTATAGGATGAAAAATGGGGCGCTTTAAATGCACTGAAATAATTATGTAATAAGAATGATGGGGACCCGAGGCTCTTTCTTCTCAGGATCTCTGAAGGCTTTGCCAACAATCAATCACCCAATCAACGAGTATTTATTGAACAGTCACTATTCAATTCCATACAATTCATCCAATATTCATAGAGTGTCTTTCCCAAAGTTCCTGGGGGAAGTCCACTCTAATACCGCTGACCTCCTCTTCTAGCTCTAGGCACCTGAGCTTTGCAGCAGGCATGGAGTTGCAATGTTCCATCCTTTCCTGTGAGTATGTGATTCATGTCTGGGTTCCACATACTATAGGCTCCGTAGAGGAAAGTTCATCTTCAGTTTTCTCACCAGGTTGTCAACAGCAATTAGCACAATTTCCAGCATACAGTAGGCACACAATAAATAAGAAAACGTATGACTAATATGTTCTAGGCTTTGTAGAGTGGGGAGGTGTGCATGATGATGGACAAGTTATATACTGTGTCCTCTAGGAGGTCACGACCTATGGACCTATGGGGAAGGAAGGTGCATACACAACTGACCAATTGACCTCCAAGTCACAGCAGAAGTAAACAGCATGATGAGCTCTGAGGAAGCTCAGCTCTAAACAGGGAAACGAGAGGAAGTAGCAGAGGAGGCACCGCGTGAGTTGGTCCCTACGGAGCAGTAGGAGGTGGACAGGTGGGGAGGGAGGGAAATGTGCTATGAAGAAAGGGAGAGGGTACAGTATACTAAGCAGCACACAGACTTGGAAGTACATAGTGTCTGTGTCTAGCACCCTGCTCATTACCATGGTGAATGGCAAAGAATAAGAAAGAAAGTTTAGTGACCTAGACTTAAAAAATACATATGGATCGGAGGAAGTAAGTGAGGAATGGTGTGATTCTGATCAAAACCACAGTTAGGAGAGAGATGGGAGAGATTTCTGTAGCCTGAAGTAGCAGCCCAAGAAGGCTTTAAGAAGGAGGTGAGGCTGGGCTCAGTGGCTCAGTCTGTAAATCCCAGCACTTTGAAAGGCCAAGGCAAGTGGATTGCCTGAGCCCACGGGTTCGAGACCAGCCCAGGCAACTTGACAAAACCTTGTCTCTACAATAAATCAAAAATTAGCCAGGCGTGGTAGTGCATGCTACTTGGAAGATCCGGCTACTTGGAAGGCTGAGGCAGAAGTATTGCCAGAGCTCAGCAGTCGACGCTGGGGTGGCCATGAATGTGTCACTGCACTCTAGCTTGGGTGACAGATTGAGACGCCAACTCAAAAAAAAGAAAAAAAAAGGTGAGCCATAAATTGGTCTGGAAGGATGAATAGTGCTGGGAGGGAAGGAGCAAGGCAAGGAAACTCCAGGCAAAGAGCAAGGATCAGCAGTAGACACAGGGCATGAGAAGCAGCCAACCCAACCTGAGTGAAGAACAGGACCAAGATCATGAAGGGACAAGAACTACTTCTCTAATTCTACTTTTCTAATTCTTCTTCCAAGATCAGCCCATTTAACCATTCCCAAAACTCTCTGGGACAAATCTCACAATGATCACTTTCCAAAGGAAGAAACCAAGGCTCAAAGAGTGACAGTGCCAACGATCACAGGGTTGTTGAGCTGCAGAAATAGGATTCTAACTTCAGATTTCTCAAGCTCAGTTCAATACCTTTTGGTCTCTTTAACAGGTAGGCCAGAAGACAGCAGAAAATGAAGTAAATACAAATCCCTTTATATGCCATCACTACAAAACACAAGTATCCTAAACAGTTAAGTCCACCCAACATATTTTAGTGATCTGTCCTCTCCTCAGAATGTTAATATTGGGTGAAACAAATTTTATTGACTTGAGATCAGTTTTTTAAAAAATTTATTTCAATAGCATTAGAGGTACAAATGGTTTTTGGTTACATGAATGTATTGTATAGTGGTGAAGAAGTCTGGGCTTTAAGTGTACCCAGCACTCCAACTAGTGCACATTGCACCCAATAGGTACTCCTCACCTCCTTCCCACTCTTTTTCCTCTGAGCTCCAATGTCCATTATACCACTCTGGTATACCCCAGGGGCCCCTAACTTATCTCCCATTTATAAGTGAGAGCATTGGTATTTGGTTTTCTAATCCTGAATTTCTTCATGTAGGATAATGGCCTCCAATTCCATCCAAGTTGTTGCAAAACACATTATTATATTATTTTTAATGGATGAATAGTATTTCATGATGTGTTTGTGTGTGTGTGCGCGTGTTATTTTGTTTATTCACTCATCAGTTGATGGGCACTTAGGCTGATTCCACATCTTTGCAGTTGTGAAAGAACTTAAAGTAGATATATCATTTGATCTAGCAATCCCACTACATTGTCATTGAGTATCTCACTGGTTTTACATCCATTGACCCCTGACGTGGCAACTTACCAACCAGATGTAGGCAGTGAAGGAGCTAGCATGCTTTATGCTGGGATAGGATGTGACACAAAGAGGAGGATGGCCCAGACAACAGCCACAGTAGTAGCTTTCCTTTCCTGTCCCTTATTTCCATCCCTCTCCTTTCATGGCACCAATCCCTCTGTGTCCTTCCACTACCAACATCTTGTTTATCACTCTGGGCTGTCTTTGATGCTCTCTTCTGACCCTTATTCTGCTGTTTCCAAAGGTTAGCTCCATAAGAGGACAATCAATTAGGTAAGTCATTGAAAGGATGTGAGTAGCTTTGCTGTATTACTATAGCACAAGGATGGAAATGAGAAACAGACAAACCATGACCCGTGTGCTCATTTCTTGTTAGAGGAAAGACCTGAAGCAGAAATGAGGAAGGCTCATCAGGTTTCACTAGATTCCAAAGCCATGGCTCCTTCCATTGCTATTCTGCTGGGAGACCATCTCTCTCCTCCCTATTAAAGTAAGATGTAAAAATAATAGAGAGACCTACACAGGGTCCTCTATAAAAACCACTTAGGCACTGACTTGAGTAAAGAGATGGCCTGAGACACTCCCCAATCCTTTGTCCCAAAGTGATGAACGCCCCAGAGTCTCTAAAGGGTTGTTCAAGAGAATTCTGCATTTTTCTCTGTGGATGAGACAGACAGTGTTGGCAGATTATAAAGAGGGCCTACAGAGTAATGGAGAGCGCAGTTCACTCAGGCACACGTTCAAAGAGTGCCTTGGATAAGCTTTCAGAAAGGGAAAATAATTGTGTGCTAATCGGTCTGTTGACAGAGACCATCCTGCCTTGAGAAAGCTCTGATGGATCTCAGGTTCATTAGCACATCCAATTTTCCATAAATACCAGATTGTACAAACCCTCACTCCAACGAGCCTGCTTTCCCATCCCCCTGTGGTTGCCCTTCAAGTCCAGGCTATTCTTGTCCTACCTAAGAGGACACTAATAACACTGAGAGCAGAATAAAATGGCCTTCTAATTGTGAATGGTCCAACTGAGCTGTGAGGGCAGAGCTGATGGTTTGTGTGCTTAAGAGCTGCAAACTGAACTCCAGGCTGCTATGGTGAGAAATCTGGGCAAGTAACTTCTAAGGATGCTCTGTGAGAAACATCCCTTTTGTCCTCCTGAGATTCACCTGAACTTTTGTGTGACAGCCTATTTATCAGCTTGTGAGTATGTCAAGCCCTCCCGAGCAGGTACTCCCTCAGCCTTTGACTAAATAGATAGTGAGCTATAACTAAGAAACAAGCCCCTTCCCTCCTTTGTGGTCCTGATCCCTTCTGGGGAATTATGGACATGATGTCTATGCACACAACCCCTCATAGTTTGCAAAGTGATCTTATGTGTATTGAGTCATTTGTTGGTGCCCAATCCTATGGTAGAGTCCAGTGATATTCACATCCGAATATCAGTCTAATCAGCAGGTAGAACAAGAGTGTACCAATAGGAAGAAATGCCAGTCTTAGTGCCAAGGCAGGGTTCAGAAGCCTCCTGAGGTGCATTTGCCCTTTGGTTACTAT